CTTCTCTCTCTCTCTCTCTCTCTCTCTCTCTCTCTTTTATTTGAAACCAAATTGCCTCCATGATCTAAAGTTACAAAGCTATTTTATGACTTCTTATTTTGAAGATCTAAAGACAACACCCACATGTTCATTTCTTCCATTTTGTATTCCCAAAATTGCCACCACTTTGGATATTGGATCTTCAAGATCTGAAGTCCCATCTCTTTCCAAAAAGATATATACCCTTATTCCTTTAATTATAATCCAAAATAAATCCTTGGGTCTATGAAAAGCCCATAGACCCCTTCTGAATTGAAAGAAAAGGAAGTTTAGCCCCCCCCTACCTTTTTCATTATCCAAATTGCAATATTTATCCTCTATTTTTTTTTTCTAATGACCATGTGATCCAAACCTTGGAAAAGCCACCCCTATTTGTCCTTATCACCCTGTGGATCCTTCCCCTCTCAACCCCCCTTCCAAATTCCATTTGGATGATGTGATGGTATAGAAAAAGGATAAATATTATAATTTGGACAATGAAAACGTTGAGGAGGTTGAACATCCTTTTCTTTTAAATTGGAGGGGGTCCATGGGCTTCTCATTTACCAAAGAGTTTATTTGGGACTGCGATTATAGATAGGGGGATTATACATCGTTTCCCCTAATTTATAATATGCAAGTGTAGTAGTATACTGAAGAATTTTGGTCTAAAAAGTTGAGGCAATACTTATATTAGGTCTCATGCAGATACAAGGAATTCAAGCTTCAAGATTACTCTTCTTGGTATCAAAAACAAGTATGGCATCCATATTCCATGGCTTTCATATTCCACCAACAACTCCCAATGATTCTTATCAATTTAGTGTTACTTAATTAATGCTATATTTTTATGACAATGATTCTAGGATTATGAACTTTTTTTTTCTCCCCTTTGTGGCTTTCCCTAGCTAAACAATTCACAAAATTGGAGACGGTTAAAGAGTTGTCTTGTGAAGTCTGAAGACTGCAAAACTTTGCCTAAGCTTTACAAGGTATGGCAATTCTTTTCTTTAACTAATATTCGTTTTTTATGATATTAATCATCCTAGCCTAGGGATGACAAATCATGTTTAGTTTGAAGATATTCAAATTGGGTTGTACTTAATAACATTACTCTGCATCCACAGCCTGTGTGATGCTTAACCAATCAAATTATAAATATTTTTCAGATTTTGTATTGTAAATCAAAACAAAGTACTTTTTAAGCAATAGAAATTCACAATTCAAATCGTCATAATCATCCAAGCCTTACCCCAACTACTGTTTGAAAAATCAGCTGAGTTAGCTTGGACTCGGCCGAGTTATTTAGGTGCGGGCAGTGGCTGATTCCGAGTTGTCCTGCGCAGGAGGTCCAACTCAGGGATCTTAAAAAAAACAAAACAAAAATATATTATAAAAGTTTCAAAAGAATAAGAAATCTATGTATAATATGCTTATGGGTAATGACCTTGTGAGACCCTCCCACACCCATGTGTGTAGGACCCCAAAAGATCACCATTAAATTTGGCACGTATATCTACAAAAGTCAAGTCCCACACCCATGTGATAACTTTTCTAGAGATTTATGCCAAATTTAATGGTGATCCTTTGGGGTCCTACACACAGGATTGTGGGAGGGTCTCATAGGATCATTACTCTATGCTTATATGTTCTATCATTTTGGCAAAGATGGGAAATTAATTTGGCCATGAGTACTAAATTTTATATTTTTCCATCTTTTTTGGATTATTTCAAAAGTATCCCTAGTCACAAACTAATATTTCAAAATCTATTTTTTTATTACTTTATTAACCTCATTTAGATGTACTTTGTTTAATCTTACTTTAAACATATATGCCATATTTTTTTTTTTCTTTTTTTGTATTTTTAACATTTTTTTAATGCTACAATACTTTGCCCAACTCTGGCTGAGTTACTCATATTCGGGCTGAGTACTCGGCTCGAGTCGTTCGTTCGAATACTGATCCAAATATTTGGGGTCTCCTACCCACAAATCCTGATTTGTGATTTTGGTCTATCTAGGGCCATTCCCTCAGTTAGATCTCAAGGAACCATCTTTTATTACTACTTTTGTCCATGTCCTTTACGGCCTTCCCCTTGGCTTTTTAGAGCCTTTTACCTGAATCAAATGACCCCTCCTAACCGGTTCTATTTTAGATCAATGCTGCATATGACCAAACCACCTAAGTCTACTTTTCCTCGTTTTATCGTCTATTTGAGCTATCCATAAGTTCCCTTGAATTTATTCCTTCCGAATTCTAATTCTATCCTTCCTTGTCTTGCCATTCATCTATCTCAATATCCTCATCTCAGTTAAATCATTCTCTCCCACAGTTCATAATGTGGTTCATAAGTTTAATCCCTCGATAGTTCATATAACTTTGTGTGTCTCCTTTGTTCTTGTAAATCAGCAACACATTATTTTTCTTCTGTTTGTTTGTCATTTTCGTTATTCTCGAAATCTTGTTGAATATCTTAGTTACCAGAATATGCCAATCTCGCCCATGCACTTCTAAACCTCTATTAGTATACCATCTGGTCCTAAAGTCTTTCTTCTTCATCTTTCTCAAAGCTTCTTTGTCTTAGATATTTTAATCCTATGAAGGTATCTATGGCCTCCAATATCATTTATGTCAATGGCTCTCTTAAAGCTGAGATGGAGTTATTTAACAATTTCTGAAAATAGAATCTCTACCTTTTCTTAACCTCGTAAGCCTTCACCAATACCCTTTGATCCTCATTCTTAATTAATTTAACATGATCTAGGTCCATACACTTCATCTATATCAATTTTTCTAGTTTGAAGACATTTTTTCACATTCTCTTGTCCCTAATTAATTATCGAAAAAGTTTAGATAGAGCTGACGCTCTAAACAATCAAATTAAAACCCACCTCACAAATTTCACTAGAAGAGGTTGTTTTGATGCCCAAATATCCTCAAATCGATCATCTTGGCATCAAGATGCATGGACATGAGAAAAAAATGGATATCACGTTTTGGAAGTAGTGCATCTTGTAACGCATTTTTGGACCGTCAATTTTAAGATTTTCAAGTTTTCATAAATCTGGTCGATCTATACTATTTTTGAACCTTTAAGTTGTGTAATTAAAGATAAAAATATATTTTAAGCCTATCACAAAGATTTCCAGTATTGAAACCACATTTCTCGACACTATTTGAAGGTGCGCTTTAATTTGATGGTTTAGAGCCTCAGTCCTATACAAACAGCACCCATTAATTATATAGATCATTTTTATGTATTAAGTTTAGTCTTACTATTTTCTCGGCATTCCTTTTGGTATTTCTATATTCTTCTAAATTTTGATCATTTCTATTTCTTTGCCAAGCTTTGCAACATGATCGTTTGTCGTTAGTAGGCATTTGAACCTCATCATTCTACCAGCAAGTTTCTTTATCTGAAAGTCTTTTCCCTCAAAATTCTCCTAAAACTCTTACCACTTTTTTAATATAAGCAACCATCGCATTCCACGTAACATTAACTTCGTCATCAGAATTAATTTTCCTTCCTTATTCAATTTATTTCTAAATAAACCTATGTTATCCCTTTTTAAGTCCCACCACCTAGTTCTTGGGCATCCATTAATGTCACTCCTCTTCAGTCTCTTCATGCAAACATCCATAAACATGAGACTATATCTTGGGGTAACCTTAGAGTCTTCACATGATGATCATTCTGTCTTCTTAATTAGAAAAAAGTCTATTTGACTTTTATGTGATCCACTTTTATAAGTTATTAAATGTTCATCTCACTTTTCAAGGTATGTGTTTGCTATTGTTCGATCGTAAGCCATGGAAAAATTAAAGATAGCATTATCCATCTCATTTCTTTCCCCAAATCTACATCTATCATGTACTCTTTCATATCCTGTACTATCTTTTCTTGCATGACCATTTAAGTTCTGTTCTAAAAATGTCATGTCTCCATTTGGTATTTCTTGGATTGGTTCATCCATACTCTCCTAGAATTGTCTTTTAATTCTATCATCTATTCCTACATGTGATGCATAAGCATTAATTACACTAATTATCTTATCTCCTGATATAAGTTAAAAATTCGCAATTCAAATAACAATTTTAAACTTTCATATTCCTTACTTTTATTGAAAAATAAAAATGATCTTTGATAGTTTGATAATTTTGCTTCATCTTTATGGAAATGAACTTTGTTTGTTCTGTATAGGAATAACTTCTTTTTTGAGTCCCTAATTTTAGTACAACATAATCATAAATGAAGAAAAAATTCATACTTAAAATCATAAATTTGAGTCCCTAAATTTAGAAATATTAAAACATTAAAATTTATGTTAATCCCATGCATGCAAAGAGACCTTATTTTAAGTAAAGATGCCCACTAGGTTCGGGATTCAGGATCGCCAATTTGCTGAACTGGATCGAAAATCCAGATGCGCAATTCGGATCACTGATCCGTTTCTAAAACTTTGGGATTTAGTGTGCAAGAAGAGCTTCTTGCTTTGTAAGGAAAAGGAAAGATCTAAATGCTATAGTAGCAAAATTGACGGCCTATATAGGATGATGATGACACACTTAACAACTCAGAAAACTTGACACCACGCTTACATCTTAAGAAATTTAATCTATGTAGTGTTCAAATATGGGGGCTGGTATCATGACCAGTTATTTTCGATATACCGCCTTATTTTCGATATACCGCCAACAAAACATATTAATGTCTGAGTTGATTGTTAGGTGTCCTTAAACAAAAACAGTGATGGTGGCTTTGTGCTACATGTAGGTGGCAATATCAAAATAATGGCTGCAATACTTGGCCGTATAAAAGTGTGTGTCTGCCTTTGTGTGTGAGTGTGTGTGTGTGTGTGTGTGTGAGAGAGAGAGAGATGACTTTTGTTTGTTCGTGTGAAGACTCTCAAAGAATACAAAAATGCGGAGTTGAGCCCGATTGAAGCTGGTTGCTGCCGGCCACCATCTGAGTAAGTGGTTTATTGATTCTGTGATTATTGTAGAGAGAAACAATGAGATTTTCTATCATTTTGTCATTGTGTTTGTGTGCGCGCCTGTGTGTGTGTGTGTGTGTGTGTGTGAGAGAGAGAGAGAGAGAGAGAGAGAGAGAGAGAGAGGTAGTATAGTGTGTGTACGTACTACGTTACTTATTTATACTTACTACGTACTACTACTTACTTTACCTTTTTACCTTACCTAACTACGTAGTAGTTGTAGT